ACATGGAGCTTAGAGGACTTTACAGGATCCCTAATGCGCGGGGATGCAGATTTTGTAGGATCCCCTCCTGCAGCTGTYCAGAGGGCTGAAAATGCTCTCCAAACCCCAACAGGCCAGATATGAAAAGACAAGGTCAGCTGCCCGAGAAAGGGGCAGGCACCCCCAGCACCGTGGTGAGCAGAGGGGAGGCGGGGACGCCTGGTGAGGCAGGGACAGTGGGCAGGTACCCAGGGCTGGGCCCTGGGGCAGAGCAGCGGAGGCCCAGTTGGTGGTCGTGTTGTCAAATCAAGACTCTTGGACTCTAAAGGCATTTACAGAGGTTGTCTCCTTCTAGGGACTTAAATCTCATCAGGATTCCATCCCGTCCCCTTTACAAAAGTGCCAAAGGCAGACATTTCTCCTGCTGGACTCTGAACTTGTTTCTCTCCTTTTCTCTTTTGTGGTGCTGGGGAAGGACGCCAGGCCAGTCCACCACTGAGCACACCCCAGCCTTCACCTTGTTTCTTTTCATGGGGCTGGAACTCCTTTTGTGGTACTTTGAGGTTCTATTTCTTTCTTTTTAATTTTTTTTTTTAGTTACACATAGACACAATATCTTTATTTTTTTGAGGTGCTGAGGATCAAACCCAGTGCCTCACATGTGCGCAGCAGGCGCTCTGCCACTGAGCTGCAGTCCCAGCCCCGAGGTTCTATTTCTTTTTTTTTAGTATGTAYTTTTTGTAGTTGTAGTTGTACACAATAACTTTATTTTATTTATTTATATGTGGTGCTGAAGATTGAACCCAGGGCCTTGCACGTGCGAGGCGAGTGCTCTACCGCTGAGCCATAACTGCAGCCCCTCTATTTCTTGATTTTAGTGATGATTAAGTATGAATGCCCTGTTCCCAAATCTGCTTGGCAAAGAAACCTGCCAAGATCATACAGTGCAGAAAAAAAAAATCAGGTATAATACACAGAGAATTCTCTAGAAGTTGTGTTTTCTGGAAGGGCAAATCAYGACCTGCTCGTGGACCCCTGCTACAGGCAGGACTTGTGGGTGGCCCAAGTCCTCCCTGCAGTGGCTGGAGTGCTCCTCTTTCCACATGGTGGGCAGCGGCCAGGGGTACACTACAGCGTGGACCATAAATGTTCCCCACAGGCCATGTGTCAAGAGCTTCGCTAAGGTACACACTGGCACRTCCAGTACGTGGCAAGGAATCTCACCATGTGTACAACTATGACATGCCAATCAAGACGGGAAAGGCAGCATACCTGTGGTCACAGGCTGGTGGGAGGCTGGGAGGGGATGCCGGAGCCCCGGGTCAAGCCCAGCCCAGAGTCCACCTGAGGAAGACAGAGACAGAGGCTGGGTCTCCTGGGCCCCTCTTAGCACTATGGAAGCTGGCACGCAGTCTAAGAGCCGGTGCCAAGTGTGTCCTTGGGATATTTCCCCTAGGGTGACTGCAGAACCCTGGTCCTTTCTTGTCTTCTGTTTCCAGGCATGAGCTGAAGTCCACCAAGTCCTCAAGCCATGGTGTGCTGCCCAGGACCAACAGGTCAGACTGAAACCTTTTTCAGTGTGAACCAATTATCTCAGCCTTCGTCACAGGAAAGCTGGCTATTACAGGAGAGTCCCCGGATTCCCACTGTCACTCCTCAGAGTAAGCGTGAGGAAGGAGTCCTTAGTCCAGTGGTCAAGCTGCCCCTTCCCAGCCCTGCCCTCACTACCACTGTGTGCGGGGCTGGCGAGGGTGAGTACTTCTGAGGAGGAAGTAAAATGTGGACCTACTAGAGAACCCAAATGTGAGGRCTTTATGGTAACAACATCTGTTTTCCCTTGGACTCAGGGTACAGATGCAGGTGAGGTACTGAAGCTTACAGCTAGTAAGATCTCTGTAGACCCTGCACTATGGGTGGTGCACTCTTCTAGTCCCAACAGCTTGGGAGGCAGAGGCAGGAGGATCACAAGTTCAAGGCCAGCCTTGGCAACTTAGGGAGACCCTGTCTCAAAATAAAAAAGATGAAAAGGGACGTGGGTGTGGCTCAGTGGTTAAGCACTCCTGGGTTCAATCCTCAGTACAAAAAAAGAAAAAGGAAAAAGATCATTGTAGAGATGAATGAGGAAGGAAAAAAGGCACAGATCATTCCTGCTCAGAGCAAGAGTCACCTCCTCTTCACACACCTACTTCATTTAGAAGTGAAGGTTAAAGTCATGGTTTAAAAACAGAAATCAGGGCTGGGGATGTGGCTCAAGCGGTAGTGTGCTYGCCTGGCATGCGTGCAGCCCGAGTTCTATCCTCAGCACCACATACCAACAAAGATGTTGTGTCTGCCGAAAACTAAAAAATAAACATTAAAAAAATAATAAAAATAAATTAAAAAAAATAAAAACAGAAATCATGTCCAGGTACCCTCGAGGAAGAGAGGACACAAAGTTCGGGTAGTAGAGGAAGCCAAGGCCTCGCCGCGGCTGGGCCAGTTGAATCACAGGTCGCAGCCAGCTGGGGAGGGGCCTGCAGGAGTCTGGTGACCAGGGCAGGGCCCTTCTCCTCCCAATGGACACGCATCCCTCACCCGAAAGGCTTAGGCTGGGGACCGGTTTCTCCCTTTTTGCAGATAAACAGGCTCTTGATGACACCCTGCCCTTCACAGGGACAAAACCATACTCCRGGGCACGCGACCCGGCACAGGGCCGGAGCAGGCTGGTTTCTCACCACAGCCCTGTGAACGGGCACCTTCTTTCTCTCCAGATGCCCCTGTTCGCATGTGAGGGCAGCCTTGGTGGGCACCAGAGACTGGCTTCAGGGCAGCACTTGGGGTGGCCATGGACAGGGTCCGCCTGGGCCGCTGGGTTCCTCTTGCCCTTTCCCCCGAAGCGCAGCAGGCTGAAGGCCAAGGCCTTCCTCCCCACCTGCAGTCCTTCACAGAGGCCGTTGGAGGGCAGCGGCCTCCCCTCGGACAGCCCACATGTTGCTGTGGGGCCTGCTGCTGTACAGCTGCATGGCACCATCTGTCCCCTCGGGCTCCAGTCAGGGCCTCGSTGTGTTGCCCGGGCTAGCCCTGGACTCCTGCCTCAGCCCCCAGCACCAGGGACCACAGGCGAGTGCCACACACCCGGCCTAGGGGCACTGTCTAACGCTGTCCCCCGGAACACGTGCCCTTTACAGACTCTCAGGTAGACAGGGCATGGCCCTGAGCCTCAGGGGGACAAGGTGCTGCCGTGGGAGGGCTCCACTCCTGGGGATGGCACTGTGCAAGTCCTCCCCCACGCATGGGAGGCTTGCCCTGTGTGCCCAAGGCTCAGGCCAGGGGCCTGTGGCAAGGGTGATGCAGGCTCTTGTCCAGTCACAATGACCCGAGCGGTCAGCGCCGCAGCTGTGGGGCAGAGCCACCCAGCACCTCAGCCCTCACCTATGGCAGCTGACCCTGGGGGTGACCCCCAGGAGCACCCTGACAGGCGTGCTGGCMAGGAAGGTGCCCAGCTCTGCCCTCAGGGGACGTGTGTGGTGACACTAGGAGGAATGTCCTTAAGGAGCACTGTGGGCTGGGAGGACTATACCCTGGAGCACATCTTCCCCGGGGTTCTTGCCAAAGCCCAGAGCTGTGTGCTGTGGGGAGGAGGCTGGAGAGACCCCTGGGTCTCCGCAGGCCCTGCCTCCTGCCTCCYACCAGGCAGAGCTCAGCCGTTCACCTAGTGCAGCACCTGAAACTCCTTATTTGTTGGCCAAGTGAGGGGCAGAGGAAGGTGAGAGTGAGTCTCTGAAAACAGGCACAGCACCCTGTCCTAGTTCTCGACCTCGGAGCCATTGGAGGGCACCGGGGCTCCAGGCACAAACAGGCTAGGGCAGGCCCATGAGCACCCACGGAAGCACCCCTTGGGGCACAGACACCAACGCAGTACAGAAGACAGGGAYCCAGGTCACTGCCATGCTCCCGAGTTCACTGCTGTTCCCACCTTCCCCACCCTGTAGTAGGTTTCTTCCAGAATTCCAAGAAATGCCCTTTCTAGCCCAGCCTTTTTCCTGTTGGCACTGGGGACTGAACCCAGGGGTGCTCTACCGCTGAACAACACCCCCACCCCTTTTTACTTTTTGAGACAGGGTCTTTGTAAGTTGCTGCCTCAGCCTCCTGAGTTGCTAGGGGGGCAGGTGTGCTCTACTGTGCCCAGCAAAGCCTCTCTCTTTCAAGGACCATGAGATGCGCTTCATCTTCACACAAGAGCAACAGCAAAACAGTGCCCCAGAGGCCTAGTCACTTACACCAGAATCATGTGGGCAGCAGGCACACAGGAAGGCAGCATCTCAACTCCCCCTGGAGGAGGCACTGCAAGCTGCTTTGTCTCAACCCCTGAAATGACACTGACCTCACCCCATGCTCTGTCCTCCAGCAAGTGTCARAACAGGAAGGTCACAGCAGCCTGAGGGGTAGCCCTTAGCAGCYCATGGCACCGGGTGGCCAGTTGAGGGGCGGGGGTGTTTCAATGTGGCTTTGCTTCAGTCATTTTTGTTGAATTTTGTCATGGCTAGCGCTGCCCCACAAGGTCTTGTCCTCCACCTGCCAAGTGGAAGGGAAGGGCAGCTCCTTGGCAGGCACTGGCTGGCCACCCCCTCAGCCATGGACACACATTCCTTCTAGTGGAGGGCCTTGGGTGGCCCTGGGAGCTCTCCTAACCATCCTTCCTGGCCCCTGAGGTCACAAGGATGGCCTGGGAGACGTGGCTTCCACAGATGGCCACTGCACACCATCACCCAGCGGCATGGTCACCTGGCCCAAGCTTCTCAGAAGAGAAGGCCATGCTGGGCCCCAATTCCCTCACTCGCCTTAGGAAGTGCTCCAGGAGGCAGAGCAGGTAGACAGACGTGAGCGTGGAGGGCACAGGAGGACATCTGGGTACACCTGCTCCACTAGCCACGGGAAGAATTGCAATGATTATGCTCCTCATCATGAACAAAGTTCTTGTGCCACAAAAAAATAGAAAGGTCACTAATTAAAAGAAAACAAAGGATTTTTTTGTTGTTTGTAGAAAAAGAAACCCACATGCTTCTGACAAGTCTTTTCTGACTCCCCCCACACTGAGCAGGACAGGGGGCAGGTGCAGTGGGCACTGCTACAAGCCTCAGCACTCAGGACACCCCCAGACACTGCRCAGGATGGGGGCAGGTGCAACGGGCACTGCTGCAAGTCCCAGCACTCAGAGGGCTGAGGCAGCAGGATTGTGTGAGCCCAGGAGGTCAAGGCCAGCTGGACTCAACAGGAGGCTGAGACCACTTCTAGGGAGGAGCCTCAGGCTGGTGCCCAGTGTCCCCTCGGCCGGTCTTCCTGCCCCGAGCCTTGTCTCCTCCCCTCCCCGCAGTGGCAGAGAACTCACCACTGAGGACAGCATGAAGAATGGGGAAACGAGCATCTCCAGCAGGAGCCAGAGGGACAGTGTCCTTGGCCAGCACCCTGCAACCCGGGGCCACCTTTAGGACCTGCTCCTGGGCACAAGTGACCCTGGGCAGACCAGTTTTCTCCCATCCTGCAGGTGTGGAGGACAACAGCAGAGCTCCCTGATGCTCCTGGAGGTGCTGGGTAGGAAGCCAAGGGCCCCAGGGGGGCACCAGACCAGGCACTCCTCTGGAAGCATCTGCTACAGTCCCTCAGAGAGGAGCACAGGAGCAGCAGGAAGCCCCATCAAGTGGACGGCCTCCCTGTCAGAGCAGGGTGTCACTGCAGGGATGTCGGCTTTGGAACAGATGACTGTGTTCTTGAGAATGAGAGGAAATGCGAGTCTTGGACCAGGAATGACAGCCCTGTCCTCTCAGACCGAGTCTCCACCGTCCCACCCTCCCAGGAGTGAGATGGGAACTCCCTGGACTCTCCTCCCACTGGGATCAGGATGAAGGACTTAGCCAGGGTCCCGACACGGCCCTCTCTTCCTCAGTAGGATGTAGCCACCTCCACCTGAGCTTCTTATTGACTACTTAGTGCAGTGAGGCTGATCTCAATGATGCTCTCTCCCTTGGTTTTTCTGAGACAGGGTCTTGCTCTGTTGCCAGACTGGTACTGAACTTGGGCCTCACGTTGTCCTCCCACCCCAGCCTCCTGAGCAGCGGGGACCACAGGCGCAGCCCAGTCCTGGCTCATCAACTCTTCACATATAAGATCTCTCCCTCTGGAGTCACCCCGAGTTGTCCAGGACACTACTGTCAGCAAGGAGCCCGACGCGGGGACATGTCTGCCCTACAGGGGGCTGCACAGATCTCCCTAGAGGATGAGAGCCCACTGCCCAGCTAGGGCCCCAAGCTGCAGACAGAGTGACATGGAAACAAGTGGCAGAGGCCACCGGGGGCCCTCCTCTGCCGACGGTGGGGGGGRGGCAGGCCTGGACACTTCTCCAGAGCAGACTCTGGGGGAGGGCATCGGCAAGAAGAGGAATAGGGTCTGGAAAGGCCCCTCCAGCTCAGTGTGAGGGACCCGGACGGGTGTCAGGGTGTTCTGGCTGGCAGAAGWCAGGCGTCCCAACCGCTGCACTCCCGCGATACTGAGAAGACGCCCTGCTGTAAACATGGTGCTGTCCTATGGCCGTCCTGGTACGTGGCTTTGGCAACAAGGGCCACATCTCCAAGAGGCGCRGGGAGCTGTTCTGAGGAGGTCTCCACACCCCCTGCCAGGGCAGGCGCAGGGCAGAGCCCACACACCTGGTCCACATGGATGCCCTGGGTCCAGGAGGGCACCCTCATGCCCATGCAGCAGCCTCTCGGGCAGCAGCCTCACTGGAACCTCTCTCCACCTCCTGCTTAAGCCCTGGCTGGACCTGGCCAGCCACAGGTGCAGGCTGCCATGCCCAGGAAAAGGCATGGGAAACCCGTCCCTGTCCTGAGGGCCACAAGCCCTGAGACTAGCCCTGAGGCTGCACCTGTCCCAAGAAGCTGTGCCTTGGGACTCGGTCCTGCCTTGGGTTCTGGGACAGCTGCAGCCCCTGAATTCTGGGACAGCAGAGCCACCGAGGAGGGGCAGGCCTCCCTCGCTGCTCACCACCAGGTGATCTTGAACTCGTAGATGGGGCGCTTGCAGTAGTAGTGGTTGACCAGGTGCTTGTCGCACACCCCAATGCACTGGTGGTCCACCGTGAGGCCCTGGGCCGCCAGGTCCGTGACCAGGCAGTGCAGCAGGTCGTAGACGTCCGCCACGGCCTCCCAGGGCCCAAAGGACACATCCACCTCACAGTGGTGCTCAAAGAGCTGACCATCACTTTCACTCCGCTCGAAGCGTAGGGAATTGAGCAGTGGACACTCGTAGGGCGTGATGGGCATTTCCTCCTTGAAGACRCAGACCTTGAGCTTGGCGAAGCGTGCCTTGCGCTGCACCGCCCGCAGCCGCGCGATCTCCACGATCCGCTCCAGGTGGTCTACGGGCAAAACAGCACCAGTCATGGGCAGGGCGGAGGGGCCGAGGGAGCGCCCGGACAGCGGGAYGCCGGGACGAGGCTGAGCTGGGGCAGGGGGCTGGGGGCCCACTGGCACAAGCCTGAACAAGGTCAGGGCTCCTCGAGCAATAGGGGGCCAGCGGCAGAGGCTGCCCTCCGAACACGCTGCCCCACAAGCCAGCGGCCCCTTCAGCTGGGCTGGAGTCTCCAGCACCACCCAGGGAGGATGGAACCTCGGACCCCCTTGCTCTGGCGGGAACCCAGGCCCCCGAAACCCAGGCACTGACCCGCGCCCTGTGACCACCCCCCCATCCCGGGCCCCAGACCGACAGGGCCCTTGACCCTCACCTTTGTAGTAGGGCATGAGCCCCAGGAAGGCCTGGCGCACCTTCTCGCCCTTGAGCGGCTGCACGTTCTCCAGCTGCTCCAGCAGCGGCCCGATGGCGTAGTACTGGGCCTCCTTGTGCACAGCGCGCACGCGCTCCCGGGGCGGCAGGTCTCCCGAGCGCAGGAAGTTCAGCACGTCCCTAAGCGGGGAGAGGACAGGGTTGGCCAGAAGCCCACCAGCCTGGGCTGGGGCACAGGGCCTGGACCAAGGCCAGCAGTGCCGTGTGGTTAAGTGAACCTGACCTCCACTTTTGCAAAATAAAATAATAAAGCGCCTCGCAACGTCTCACGCTGACACGAGAGCATCAGAAAACTCCCAGTGGTGTGACTAGTTGCCTTAGTCAGTGTCATCGTTACTGTTGTCCTTATTAGGAGCTCACAGGTACGGTGAGAAGATAGGATCTTTACATGCACATACTGATGTAAGGCTGTCACACGGAGGGTCACGATTGAAGCAAGTCCCCGGGTGCAGGAAGGAAGGAAAGATGGCTGAGAGGGGCATCCAGCTTACCACCCAGCTGCAGCCCCCACCCAAATGCACCCATCTCGATTATAAAATCCAGTTACCGGTGTAAGCAGGCAACACATTCTCACAACCACCACCCAAACCCAGGTACAGAATGACTCACCTCCGGGGCTCCCTGCCCTTCCAGGTCAGTCCCACCTACAAGGTCGGCTGGGTGGGCCTGAGACTCACAGGGCAGGCTGCAGCTCTCCTAGCTACTCCCCCTCCGACATACTGGCTCTCAGATGTACCTGCGCTGCCCAGAGGGTCTACTCCTGCTCACTGCTCCTTTCACTCCTCATTTAAGTGGCACATCACTGAAGGTGATGACTACTCTCCATTCATCCATCCTCCGGTGATGGGTGCTGGGGCTAGCTCCCACTTTTGACTGTCACAGAGCATGACAGACCCTCCTGGTGAGGTCTCTGTGACAGGCGTTAACTTCTCCTGGGCMCTGTGGGAAGTGGCGGGCACCCAGGGGCTGCCGCACTTCACACTCCCACCAGCTCGGCCTGGGCATGCCACCTGGTGCCCATCCCCACCATCAAGGAAACAAAACGCCGGACCCCAGTGTTGGGACCAACTGGTCTCARGACTGAAAAAAAATCACATATATTTTCTTCAAAAAAATTCCATCCTTCTAACTCTGTTTTCAGATTCTTTGAGTTAGTGCTGAGTGTTCCACCCCACTGCTGACGGGATGGGAGGGGACCGGCAAACCAGGACCCAGCGGTGGCCTCGGGAACTGGCTTGCAGCTCAGTGCAGCCTGCTGGTGAGCACTGGAGACCTGTCGGTGCCAGCCACTGCCCACTGCTGCTCACGCAGTCCTCTCGGCAGCCTCAGCATGGTGCTCTCCACCTCTGTTCTAAAGGACCTGGGGGTCCAGGGAGGTCCCGAAAACCTCTGCTGCAAGAGACCAGCGCCAGAGGCACAGACTGGCTGCCTCTCAGCCCACAGCCACAATGCCCAGGCCTTGGGAGGTATGCAGACCACAGCGCCCTGTGCTGACCACAATGGGGACTGCCCCAGGAGGCACCCGCGCAGCCTCTGTGGGTCCTGGAACAGGAGCTGCACACCTCTGCTTAGGGTGCACCACTGGCCACTGGGGCCCACAACCCAGGCATGCTGCCACTTCTTGTCTCCTGTTGTGGCCTGGCCAGGGTCTAGCACATGCCAGCTATGGCCACCTGGGTGTGGGCATTTGGCCTGGGGTCGAACCCCGACCCCCTCCTCATAGCCCCTTCTAAAGCTGGTCCTTGGGGGCTGGGGATGTGGCTCAAGCGGTAGCGCGCTCGCCTGGCATGCATGCGGCCTGGGTTCGATCCTCAGCACCACATACAAACAAAGATGTTGTGTCCGCCGAAAACTAAAAAATAAATATTAAAAAAAAAAAAAAAAAAAAAAAAAAAAAAAAAAAAAAAAAAAAAAAAAAAAAAAAAAAAAAAAATAAAGCTGGTTCTTGGTGGTCTTCAGCAAACCTTCAGGCGCTCTGAGAAACAAGACCTCAGGGCAAGGCCAGCTGAGAGTGCCACCTGCAAACAAAGACCTTTTTATAGTTCCACGAGTGAGGTGACACTTTGTTTTCCCAGCATCAGAGGCAGCTGACAGCCCACTGGGACACCCAGATGCTTCAAAGCAGATCATTGGCCAGAAGCTTCTTGCTGAGCACAGAAGTGACCCTTCCCCCAGTGCGGGCAGCACAGAGGTGCGGTGGTGCAGTCTGCCTCCCTGGACACGTGCTTCAAGGTCAARGACCACACTGGTTCTGAGTCATCTCCACTCCACTGAAGGAACAAAAATCCCAGCCAAATACTCTGAAGAGCACCTGGCCAGAGGTCACACCAAAACTCCTCGATCCTGAGAGTCCATGAGGCAGCCCTAACTCCTCCTGTCACCAAGAGAAACTAAGGCAGAGTCCTAGGACCTTTATGAAGCCTTTCCTTCAGAAGGGCTTTTCTTTTTGCCCTTGAGTGTTCACATCTTTTAGTGTTAAAATCACAGGAACAAAGGGTTGGTCTGTTTAAGACTTTTCTTGGCAAACAGGTACGGCATGCCGATCAGCCTCACCTCAGCTGTCTCTGTCTTATGACATGGCCACGCTGAGCCCAGGATCCCAGTGCTCGGTGAGATCACACCTGGCCTCTCCAGGCAGGTGACTACTACCCAGGAGTCAGACTGCACAGGATAGATGGGATTTGTTTTGTTTTGGTTTTGGTCTGGGTGTTGCAGCCAGGGGCTTAACCACTGAGCCACATCTCCAGTCCTTTTATATGTTGAGGCAGGGTCTTGCTGAGTTGCTGAGGCTGACCTTGAACTCACGATCCTCTGCCTCAGGCGTGCACCTGGGTGCCCAGTTTCCGTGTTTCATCCCATCCAGCTGGTGTGTGATGCTGGGATCTCTCTGGCTGTCCTGTCTCCACTGGCAAAGCGACTCAGAATTCTGCCCCAATGCATGAGCCCATTTACCAACCCCACGTTACTCCCCTGCCCTCTAGGTGCCAGGTGCCATGCTGAGGCCCCAGACCTGCGCATGTTACTCCCCTGCCCTCTAGGTGCCTGGTGCCATGCTGAGGCCCCAGACTTGAGCCCAGGTAACTCACTTGCCAGGACTGCAAAGTGGACGGTGGATGGAGACGTACCCAAAGTGTGTGCCATCTCGGTCGATGAAGTACCGGCCCTCTGCGTCTGTGGGGATGTAATGTCGCCCGCTGAACATGGCAGCCAGCATGGTGTCCTCGTAACGCCGCAGAGTGGACAGGCGTGTTGTGAAGTGAGCCCCTCCAATGTTAAGGGGGACAACCTCAGGAAACTGGAAGGAACAACCAGAGCCCTCAGGCAGTGGGGGCAAGTAGGCTTCCCACCTGCAGTCTGCTCGGTCTGCTGCTGCCACCTGTCCGCTCAGCCTCTGCAAGCCGAGCCCTGGTCTGGACRGTCCTCTCTTTCCCCTCCCTCCTCCTCCATCCTCCAGTTGCTAAGTCCTGCATCCCACCTGGGAGCTCGTAATCAGGTCTCTGCTCTCAGAGTCCAAGCCCTCCCTGTCCTCCCTGCACTTCCTCAGCTTGTTGTCCTCCTGCCCTGGCTCACGCTGCCTTCTGTGACCGCTCTTCCTCTGTCCACTAGTCAATGAAATCACCCCAGCTGGAGGTGCAGGCTGTGCACTGCAGAGAGGACCTTGGATGGAGGTGACCTGCCAAGTTGCCAACCCGTGGGTCTCCTCTTCTGGTCCACTCCAGGCACCAGGCAGGTCCTTCTCAAGGCTCCTGTCCAAGTCCCTTCTCTGTGGGTCTGGCTGCTCCACTGCCCCTTCTGCCCAGCACACTCACCCCCACTCCACGCACAGCCCTGCCTCAGCACCCAGCACAACACGCTGCTGACCTGCTCCACTAGACCTCGGCTCACCAAGGGGACAGCCTGCCGGCAGCAGAGATCAGCAGATGTCTGCTGAGGGTCCAGCCAGTCCTCGTCCCTCCCTTGCTCCATTCCTGTCCCACTCACTCTGCAGAAAGAGATGATCAGTCCCCAGTTCACCTGAGGCCCGGGAGGCAAGGGCTTGGGGAGGACAGAAAGACAGACTTGCTCTGGGAAACTCAGAGCCCTACAACGTCAGGCGGCCTTCAATTGCCGTGGCTCCCACCAAACTGCAAAGAAGCCAGGCCTTTAACTTCCCCAAGGCTTCCTCCAGGCCAACTAGAGTTCTATCCTGGCAGTGCAGTGGCGTCTCCCTGGCTCTATTCAAAGTCTCTGTGCATCTATTCAAGCAGTCACATAAAGTTGGATGTAAAGATGTGACGTGATACACACCTAAGACCCGGCTCACAGTGAAGACCTGAGGTTTACAGATGGAGGAAGGAAGGAAACAAGCAGATTGTATAGGTATGTGCTGACTCCCATGCACCCAGAGGGTGCTTCCTCTACAAGCCTTCTTCACCCATTGGATGTGCACACCAAGGACTCAAATACTGTTTTGGAATAATAATACTTTATATTTCTGGAGCTCTTTTAATCTTTTCTAAGGATATTTGATACCAAACTATGTATTTGTTCGATGTTAGGGATGAGAATTGAAACAGATGAAAAAAAGCTGCAGAGAGTATGTGTAGAATTTTGCTTGTCTTCACAGGTTTCCAAGATGCCAGGCATTCAGGGCTCTAAGTCTTGCCTGCACCTGTCTCCTCCCCAGGTGTGTGTGTGTGTAGGGGGTGCTGGGAAATCAAGCCCAGAGCCTTACACCTGCCAGGCAGATGCTCTACCACTGGGCTACAGCACCATTGTGAAAAACAGTAATGGAGGGCTGGGATGCAGCTCAGTAGTAGAGTGCTTGCCTAGGATGTGTGAGGCCCTGGGTTCAATCCCAGAACCACAAAGCAAAATAAAACAAAGGTAGATGGGTGTGGTGGCACACACCTGTAATCCCAGTTATTGGGGAGGAGGAGTCAGGAGGATCACAAGTTCAAGACCAGCCTGGACAACTTAAGTGAAATCCTGTCTCAAAAAAAAAAAAAAAAAAAAAAAAAAAGGTAATCAAAACACAGTTTTGGTGCTCACTCGGAGCACTGGCGCTCCAGACTGTAGGTCTTGTGCCCTTTCCTTCAAGCCACACCATTTCCTCAATGACAGTGCACAAAACTATGTCTCTGCTGGCTATTTTTCCCAGCTGCAGAGAGTATGTGTAGAATTTTGCTTGCTTCACAGGTTTCCAAGATGCCAGGCATTCAGGGCTCTAAGATGCTCTTTGCAGCCCAGGGCCTCACCCAGCCCAGCCCTCCGTGTCCAGCAATACTCCTAGCCTCTGACTTCAGGGTCCACCCTCCTTACCCTTTCCCCTGAAGGTCTCTTTAGTGATAGTATGGTACACACAATTAGAACCAGTGAAGCCACAGTGCAGGGGCACCGCAGCTGCTGGGGGAGACTTCTCTTCCTGCATCTGCTCCTCACCTGCAGGTAGCCCTGCCTGCCCCTGGGCAGCCTCCCTGGCTCTCTGGAAGACCCCATCATCTCCTGGGAAGAGCTGGCTCACCCATCCCACTCCAGACACAAACTTAGGATGCAACCTCCCGGCCTCTGTGGACTCTGGCCAGCTGGTGTTGGAAGGAGGGGTAGGGACACACCTGTCCTGCCACACCCCAGTGGGCTTTGCAGGAGAGCAGGGAAGCTCCAGTTGCCCCTGCTCTCTCAGGTGGGCCCTGCCAGCACCTGTTCCCCAACCCTGCCCCAGCCCCAGCCCACCCAAGTGGGTCCTGTTGCACTCCCCCCCCCTTTCAGTCTTGCCTGCACCTGTCACCTCCCCAGGTCGGTCCTGCTTGTACCTGTTCCCCCCTTTCAGTCCAGCCTGCACCTGACCCCTCCCCAGGTCGGTCCTGCCTGCACCTGTCTCCTCCCCAGGTCGGTGCTGCCTGCACCCATCCCTTCCCCAGGTCGGTCCTCTGCACCTGCTTCCCTCGCCCCGCCCCAGGTCGGTCCTGCCTGCACCTGTTCCCTCCCCAGGTCGGTCCTGCGTGAATCTGTCCCCTCTCCAGGTTGGTCCTACCTGCACCTGTCCCCTCCCCAGGTCGGTTCTCCCTGCACCTGTCCCCGCCCCACCCGGCTCCAGGTCGGTCCTGCCTACACCTGTCCCACCGCCCCGCCCCGCCCGGGTCCGCTACCTCCTGTGGCAGCAGCGGCAGCGCGTGGCCCGCCTGCGTGGCCGTCGGCGTGGCCGGCTCCAGAAAGTCGTCCTCGGCGTCGGAGCTGGACATGGCACCGTCAGGGCGACGGCTGTCTGGCTCCCGCCCCGTGACTACCACCATCCCTCTGGCTCTGGGCGGTGGGCGCGGCTGCGGGCGGGGAGGGCGGTGGCCGCGGGCTCTAGCGCCGGGCAGCGCGGGGCATGACGCGGCTGCGGGGCGGGCGGAGCAGCGGAACCTGCGCGGACCGAAGGCGGTGGCTAGCAGCGCGGCCGAGGAGGCCGATCCCCGGCCGCCTCCTGCCATTGGTCGAGGCCGCTGCGACTCCGCCCTGATTGACAGCAAGCTTGCCCAGTGGCGGAGGCAGCGCGAGAGGCCTGCGCGGGCGCGGCCTATGGGAGCGGGCCTGCCCGCCTGCCCCGCTCCGATTGGTGCTCCGGACGCGGATGCGCGCTCGCGGGGGCGTGCTCGGGGCGGGCGGGGCAGCTCCCCCAGAGGACGCGGCCCTGAGGCTGGAGGATGCAGCTTGGGCACCGCGCTGGACCCTCCGCGTGGATGCGCGGTACAGTCCGCCGGCGTCCGGCTGAGCCCTTGCGTTTCGTTGCGTGACCCGCGTTGTGGGCGGGGAAGCCGTCTGGGCCGGGTCGCCCTCCGAGACCCTCCTAGGTAGGGGTGGAGGCTGAAGATCCAGTGCCTCACGTGATCCTCCGGAGTTGGCAGGAAAGGAAAGGAGGCTGAGAGGACCGGAGTCAGGGAGGTTAGCGACAAGCGGCTGGCGCAGCACTTCCACCGCTGGGCCAGTCGCACTCCGGTTGTAGGAACTCCCTAATCCAGAGCTGTGTCAGAATCGCTGCAGGRGCCTAGTGCAGAGGCCAGCTCCGGTGTCGCCCCAGCACCGATCCGGCCGCCTGGCGCGTCCCCTCYAAGCAGCACCGCCCCATAGTAAGGCCCCCGAGGCTTCCTCCTATCTGCCATTTCGCTGTAACCTTTTCAGAAGTACCAATAACAAAATTTCCTCTTTTCACCCTTACCATTAGGATGTTTCAGTTTGTAGCAGAAATCTCAGCCAAAAGTGGTGTAGAAATCTCAGCCAAAAGAGTGTCATTATCTTATGTAACAAGAAGCCTGCGCAGATCTAGGGTGGTCCCTTAACTAACTCAACAGGGGCTTTAAACCAGCTTCCTTGGTTCATCCACTCTGCCAAGTGGCCTCCCCCTCAGGAATCCATGGGAGAAGACCACAGAACTGGGCTGGGCTGTGGCCAGTGGCAAAGTACTTGCCCAGCGTGTGTGAGGCACTGGGTTCAATCCTCAGCGCTACATAAAAATAAAGGTACCGTCCATCCACAACTCTGTGTATCTGTATTTCTAAGGATATTGATGGATCGTGGGGCGGTTGGGACACGGCCCCAAGGCTAGAGGATGCAGCTTGGGCACCGCACAAGGACATTTTCCCTATCTGAAGCTCTTCCCCCATTTGCCTTCTTGAACCTGACTGGCACTTGACCCCCCCATCTAATGGGTCAGCTGACCCCAATACAATAAGCCCCAGAAAAACCTCTATTCACAGTCCTGTCCCACCCTAATGGATCATATGTATGAGATACATATGAAGACCACAGAACTCAGGGGTCATCAGGGAGATGGTTCTTCTAACACTCTGAAGGCAAGGCTGCAGGGACAGGCTCAGAGTGGGAGGAGGGGAARTCTGTGTGCAGTCAGCTTTATGTGGCTGAAATGTCCGGCAGTTTCCATGTCTGCTGAAGATTTCTGTTAGGAATGAAGTTTCCCATTTGGTTTTGTTTACTAGTTCTGGGGAAATCCAAGGTCAGCAGCTGGGGTAAGGGCTTACAGGGTGAGTGGGAGGGATTATGGCAGGCTTTCTGGCAAGACAGGGCAGTTTGCTGGCAGCAAGGATTTCCAAGCCAGATCACAACAGGGACCAGGGAGCCTTGAAGGAGGCCTGTTACTCCCTGCCCATGCAGAGGCTGCAGCTCTGAGATCCCAGGCAGGTATAGCCCTGGGACTACTTCTCCAAAATCCAGCCACAGGAGTGGCCCACAGTCAGCCAGTCTTGTGATGGGCAACTGGATTTCGTGTCTGCTTTCTGCCCAAGGAAAGCACTTTCTGTCTTTCCTTTAGAAAATAGTTTTTGTATGTTGACAAGTCTTTGAAGTGCTATTCAGCTTCCRGTTTTCTATCCTAATTTTAATTCAATGAATATTTTAACAAGAAACAAAAACAGAAAAAAACATTCATTCCTCCACTTACCTTGTCTTTATTGTAAATTTGATGTAGATATTTTAGACATATGAATGCTATGGTCAATCATATAGTAAGTTCAAACCCATGGCCCACCCAACTCCAGCCCATGAAAGGCACCTGACTCCTACCATTAGCAGGAACCCCTCCAGGGCATCCCACAGAGGCTACCATGGCATGCATGCTGTGTTGAGCTGGACGACACCGCACCAAAAAGTGCAAAACCCTGCGTGTTAGAGGGAAACTGTAAAGAAGACATCCCCTACAGCCCCCGCGGCCCCCACCCCTGTGGCGCTGGCCCTGGCAGAGGATCTGCCTCCTCGTCCAGTGGGCACCACGTACTTGCTCCTGACAGTCATTTCTGTTTCCCAAGCTGAACCATCAAGTTCCCACTTGAGCAGTGCAGCTGATCCTGGCTGTTTGGGGATGTGCAATGAGTGGAAAGCTGTCCTTTGGCCACTGCAAGGAAGAACCACTCTCCAGGGCTGTTCTGTGACAGCTCTGCTGCGGACTTGGTATCACGTCAGCTCTTGTCACTCTGCCACTGGAAGCCCTGTGGGGACTCCTTTCTCACATCCTGGCAATCAYGCCAGAGTCGCTGGGCTGGGCCTGGCTGTCCACTCTGTACAGCCCTCCAGGGCCTCCTTCTGAAGAGGGGAAGAAGAACATGTGCCCCAGTGAGGTGTGGGCGCTCTGCTAGCACCTCGAGTTTGACTGAGGACACATCCATCTTGGCCACTAGATTATCCTTCTGTCCTTCCCCATCGGCCTGGGCAGCTCTGCCTTGCTGCCCCTGTGGAGGCTCAGGGTCTCACCACGCGCCTGCCCCCCCCCCTTCCACCTGAGACCCAGCCCTCTCTGGGACACCTTCAGGCTTCTCCCCTGCCTTCTCCAGCACCCATGGCCCTGTGAGCTGGTCAACTGCTGGCCCTGCACATGCACTGCTGGCCCCTCGTGCCCTCATGGTGTTCTCATAAGCTCCGCTTCCTATTTCCAAACTAACCCCTCTCTTCAGGACCCCTCCTCGTTCCAGGAGCCCCCTCCCCAGGGAAATGGCAACTTGGCTAATTCCCTCACTGGAGGCTCTTGCTTGCTCTCAGTCTGTCTGCATGACCCTCCGCTTGGAGGAAGAGGTGCTCCGTGCTGGGTTTGAGGCTAATTCCCCTCACTGGAGGCTCTTGCTTGCTTTTCCAGGATGGAAACTGCTCCATGCGTTGAACTTCCTTTCCTCTGAAAGTCCAGTCTTCTGTCTCTTTTAGCTGCTGTGGCTAAGGCCTATTTCACTCATGGGCCACTTGCTCCTTTACAAAAGMAAAGCCTTCTTGGATCTGCAGCCTCTTGCAGGTAGAGCGCTGCCTGGTGAAGTAGGAATCGTCACAGTTCACCATGGCCTCCTACTCACTGCCTCCCACGGAGGCTGGGCTCTGACTGCCACTTCACTGAAATCCGGAGTGGCTTTCTGATGCCAGACCCAACTACTGTTTGCCCTTTCTGTGAGCTCCATGTCTAGGAGAGACTGGGGAGGTGACGTTGGAGGGTCACCATTCCTGTGAGCTCAGGTCTAGGAGGGACTGGGGAGGTGGGGCCAGAAGGTTGGCCTTCCTATGAGCTCTAGGTCAAGGAGAGACTGGGAAGGTGGGGTTGGAGGGTTGGGCTTCCTGTGACCTCCAGTTCTAGGAGAGACTGGGGAGATGGGGCTGAGGTTCTGCCTTCCTGTGAGCTCCAGGTCTAGGACAGACTGGGGAGGTGGAGTATTAGGTTGGTCCTCCTGTGAGCTCCAGGTCTAGGAGAGACTGGGRAKGTGGGGYYGGAGGGTTGGKCTTCCTGTGRSCTCCAGTTCTAGGAGAGACTGGGGAGGTGGGGCTGAGGTTCAGCCTTCCTGTGAGCGCCAGGTCTAGGACAGACTTGGGAGGTGGTGTTGGAGGGTCAGTCTTCCTGGGTGCTCCAGTTCCAGGAGAGAGTGGGGAGCTAGGGTCGGAGGCTCGATATTCCTGTGAGATCTAGGTCTAGGAGAGCCTGGGGAGGTGGTGTTGGAGGGTCGGTCTTCATTTAGCTCTAGGTCTAGAAAAGACTGGGGAGATGGGGCCGGAGGTTCGGCCTTCCAGTGATCTCCAGGTCTAGTAGAGACTGGGGAGGTGGGGCCGGAGAGTCAGCCTTCCTGTGGGCTCCAGGTCTAGAAGAGACTGGGGAGGTGGCGTTGGAGGGGCGCCCTTCCTGTGAGCTCCAGGTCTAGGAGAGACTGGGGAGGTGGGGCTGGAGGGTTGGCCTTCCTGTGAGTTCTAGGTCTAGGAGAGACTGGGATGGTGGCGTTGGAGGGTTGCCCTTCCTTGAGCTTCAGGTCTAGGAAAGACTGAGGAGGTGGGGCCAGAAGGTTGGTCTTCCTCTGAGCTCCAGGTCTAGTAGAGACTGGGAAGGTGGCATTGGAGGGTCGGGCTTCCTGTGAGCTACAGGTCTAGGAGACACTGGGAAGGTGGTGTTGGAGGGTCTGGCTTCTTGGGCGCTCTAGGTCTAGGAGAGACTGAGGAGGTGTGGCCGGAAGGTTGGCCTTCCCATGAGCTCCAGGTCTAGGAGAGACCGGGAAGGTGGGCCCAGTGTGTCGGCCTTTCTGTGTGCTCCAGGTCTTGGAGAGAGGTGTGGAGCATGGCTGAGCTCAGCTCCCGGCTGCTGCACCCACCTATCCCAGGTGCTCTGCAGCTCATTCTTCTGCTGTCTGCGTGGCAACAAGAGCTGGCAGCTCAGAGGTGCTGCTCTCTTGTCTCTGACGCATTCTGAGTGGCACACACAATGCCAGAGTGCCTTGGGTCCTGTTCCTTGTTTGACTGACCTTCCAAAGCAGATGGGTGCCTGTGAGATTTGGAGGGCAAATATCAAAATATATTCTACGGAGTTGAGATGGGGCTTCTTGCTCCTTCCACTGGCAATCCTGGTCGTCCAAGGGCTAAAA